GGGGGGGGGGGAGAGGGTATGTTTGAGCACCAAATCGCGGTCAAATCAGTGCGGGGTTCCAACCAATCCAATCCAATCTTGATTCTGAATTGTTTTGAATTCTGCACACTTTTTCATAATTCTGAATAGTTGAGACACTGTGCTGATTAGGTCTGACGTAATCCTCAATCATTTTGACGATAATGAAACAATTGGACAAATGTTGGAATCATTTACTGCGTAACTTTTCGCTACTCACATCAAACTGCCTACTGACCGTTAAAAAAGCAGCAAAATTCTACTCGAAAAGTTCGCCAGAGGTGAAGAGCAATTTTCAGATGTGCTGCTTCTTTATGTACACATGGTATATACAAACACCCTCACTAGATTTTTAGATTATCTCTCCTTCCGCACACCATCACTATTTTTGAGAGTATAGACGGTAACCGAATGAATTACGAAATTTCTTCAGATTATTTCGGACTCGTCAGAAGTGCGTACTTTTTTGTGTCCCTGTTAGAACTCGAACCATGAACCTCCGGATTAGGACTTCAAAGCCCTACCCCTGAGCCACACCATCGATGGTCACCACCTTGTGCCAACGGCTAAATCACCTTTGACGAGCTAATCCAAGACATTTAGTGTCTTAATTCTTCAGATTATCTTTATGTTCAATGAAAATATGTCGAAAAAAAAACAGACTCTTCATGAGAAACGTATTACGCTCCAATGTATCCTACCAATTGAAACCACTTTATCATATTGTATACGATTTTGAATCCTATCCGTGTCGGTATTATTCGACTCTCGAATCAACGAAATGTCTAATTCATGGAGTGTTGGTGTACCTTTTGAGTAAGGGTAACTCTGATGTAAGGTTCAAATCTGGACTACACACCGTTGTTTTGATTCCACAAAATCATAGCCATCATTTTATTAACCACGAGTAGTGAGGTACAGTGATATCGTGCCAGGAAATGGCTTTCCGAGTGATTTTTCGATGCCATTGCCTCTCCAATGCACGAATATATGCATGAGAATTTTGGATCCCTCACGGTATACCGAGTTTGATCGGATCGTTATTTGATGGGGTACCCCATTTCATCATGCATATTTAATTGTTCATCCACTCGCTGAAGTATCGATCTTCTTTCGACAGAGCATGCCAATAGTTGTTCGATGCGTCGGGTCCATCTAAATTAAATTTCATTTCTTCAGTAAAGTGGACAAAATTCCCTTCGTTTTTCCAATTTACCTGAGTCAGAGTTCACAATAGAAATCTTTCGATTCATAAAGTTGTTAGAGCTATGTGCCTGTTCATCTTCTTGTATTCCATCCACTGGACGGTTTCAAATGTTCGTTGGGCCGTTCGCATCGAAGCGTTCAACTTGCAGACATTGTTCTTATCTGCTGAGTAAAACTTTCTGTTCATGACTGGTCTTTCGCTGTTGCCGCTTAAAATATTGTACCGCGACGGATCTGGACCTATTGCACCGTTTGGCTATTTCATGTACGCTGACAAAAATCTCACAGATGACATCTATTCTTGTTCGATTTCTGGTTACCAATATTGTATCCCTGATTGCTGGACACCGGTCACGATCATTCCTAATCCGAAACCGTGCAGATCCAGCACTCTATTCCAAATATTTCCGTTCCATTGCTTTAACACCACGTGGTCTTAAAATGGCATAACGTGCCATTCTCAAACATTTATCTGCTTCTTTCAATAGCCCCGAAGACCCACTCCAATCTGTGCTTAAATTAAACCGGTCCCCTTTTGAATCCTGTCGCCTTCCTTGTTCATTGCGTTACCAAATCCCTAGACGCATCCGCGAAATCCGGAAGATTTTTTNTTTTCCATCGACCCTCGATTCTGTTCCACGTTCGTCCTCCGTAAATTGGAGTCATTTGGCTGTCCCAAGCACCTACTGGCGTAGCTCGTTGACTACTTCACAAACAGAAATCACCTTACTCTTCGGGGTACGAAAACGCCTAAACGGCCCTTGAACACTTCGGGAGTGCTGCATAGAGCGATAGTTTCTTCCTTCTTGTTTTCCACCTTCATCATTGACCTGTCAGGGAGTTCTAAAGCCAATTTATATAAATAGGCTGATGGCGTAGTCCTTTGTAGGACATCTCTGTGACTGAATACCTAAATTTCTCTAACAATCTACCGTGTAAACGTAAATTTTACGTTCGTTCTGGACTGTCTCTTATTTTTTTTCAGGTGCTTTGAATGCACTTTTACCTCCTCTCAGTCTGTTCATCTTCGTGACTTCTGGGTCATAAACACAAATGCCCTAACTAGATTAGATTCCGTGAAGTGGTTTGGAGTTACGATTGAGACAAACATAGAATGGGCATTCCATATTTACAACAATATAAAGAAGCTTCATGGATTATCTTTCAAACTTCAAAGACTCGAAAAATTCAACGTTAGACAAAACAAACAGACAAAAAATACAATTTCGCATTTTGTCTCTCAATGTGTTTTTCCTGTCCTTCTTTATTGTTCCCCGGTGGTTTTTGCTGGACTACCACATAAAAACTTCAAAATTCTCCTCTTCGCAGTTTATCAGTCCTGTGTCTTTTATACCCGTTGATGATTTATCTGAAAAAAAGCTGTGAATTTCACTTGTCCTCATGTGAAACATTTGCACAGAAGATCCTCTCTGACCCCGCCCGTCTCTCATCGTTTACATAACGATTTATCCAAATACCGCTCTCATTTATTCGTTCACTCACGCGTTCGAATGGTGGAACCGCGCGAAGTAGTCTCCGGTGTACCTTGTACGTTTTCCGACTTGAGGTCCCCTCACTCCTAGCATCCAAACTTGGTCTGTTTGTCTGACAGATCGAGTGTGCCGTCAGTAATACAGTTAGTGCCGTCGTGAGTGGAAAATTCTCGGAGTTGAAAGAAAAATACTATCACACACATTTGTTTGATGAACAGCAGACGGAATATATCCTGCAGTCACATAAGGACCTTCTTAGCATCCGTATAAACCGGCAACCTAAACCACGGGAATTGGACTGCTTAAAGACATAAGAGACCTTTCTGGATTAGGTGTGGTAGTTAGCCAAATAACTGACTGAATGATGGTCGGTTACGAGGTTCGAAACCCGGACGTTAAGGTCCAAAGCTCTCCATTGATGGTGTAACTTAAACTACTTGATCAGTACCACCCTGTATCTTTTTTTACTGCGACTGGCTCCTTGGAATGGAATTCCTTAGGCGTTTGTACCACAGACATCCCCAGAGTCACTCGGCGTATATTATTTTGTGGGTGCATCTCTAGCCTTTGCACAACCAAGTGCGAACTGCAAATCAGCAGGAGGTAATCCCTCGCCTCGGAAGTGAGGGGGTCAATGACTTCAGTTTTTTCTAAACAGTCCCAAAGAGCACATTTCAGATAAAACAAGGAGTGGCGAACAAGCTCGTTTTCAGTGATTCGTAGTCATGCCAAATACATCTCAATACATTTTACGCTGTTTATATATAAACAGCGTAAAATGTATTGAG